CTGCGGGAGCAAGGGCGGCTGCTGCGGGGCCGGGCCTTCGGGGACAGCTGCAAGAGAGGAGCGAAACAACAACAAAACTGATGTGTTTTTACAGCCATGTGGGTTTGTTTGGGTTTTTGTTTTTTTACCGTCCATTTCCTACTTTTCCAGTCGTTTCCAAGGGAATGTGGAAACGAGTCCATCAAAAGTTAATAAATAAAAACCCAGATGTTCCTTGTGAAGCAAAACGCACCTTCCTTTAAAAAAAAAAAAACAACACCAAAAGATCTGGTTTTATCTCCTCTCTCTCTGTGATTTATCTCCTCTCTCTCTGTGATTGATCTCCTCTCTCTATTGGCTTTTTAAATATTAAAAATCAATAAACAGAAATACATCACGGGGAGACTGGGACAAGCTACGGAAACTCATCACGTTGGGCGCGACGGCGGCGAAGAAGCTGGAGACGACGAAAGGACTTAATTAATTTCCACATAACTAATCGCCACTGTCGCGTTTCCTCGAGACAGCTGGAACATTCCGCGAGCCGAAGCAACAGGTTGTTGGTTTATTAGCCTGTATTCCAAGTCGATTCTTCGGAGATTTAAATGTTCCGTATCAACCTTCTAATAGAAAAGATGATTCTGCAGCGGTTTTTCACAAGAAGCTTTCAGTAGCAACCTCTGCGCTGGCCGGAAAAGCAGCAACCAACCGAAATATTAAGGAAAACTAAGGCTGAGAGAAAGAAAAACAGCTCTTTATTTCGGATCAGGGTGTCCAGGGTCTCCGCGATGCCAGCCTGGATGACCCCCAGCACAAGCCGACCGTGTGTTTTGCGGCAGGAAAATGGAAATGTAGGAAAAGCTCCACCTCTTGCTGAAGAAAATGACCTTCCTGGCACACAGCTGTCAGAATTCCTTCTTCTACGAAGCCCCAAAATGCTCCAGAGGACCCGGTTTCCTCCAAAATCTGCTGCAACAACCAGAACTCAACGCGCGGTTACGCAGCCAACCCAAATCTCAAGGTGTTTTAGAACAATTAATGTCCAAAGTACACAAGTAACTACAACCTTCTCGGCGGCCAAGCAGTTTTGAAGGGAAAGGAGGAGAAAACCTCGCTTCCACGGCCCGTTCTTACGGCAATATCCCTGGCAAAATCAGATGGGAAGCCAACGAGTGGATGGGATTGAGCTCAGAATCAACTTGTTTGTGGAAGTTGACTCATTTTCCTTGATTTCTTGAAGGTTTAGTTGTAAAATCTGGAGATTTATCTACCCATTCTTACCTACAAGACTTGAGATTGTCCTCTGGGTATTATTGAAGAGGAAGGAGCGAAGTCTGTTAAAATCAGAAGCTCGAGTTGGGATTTAAACGTCCAAGCGCCCACGAATTTGGATTATTTCCACCGATCCAATCAACAGGGATTGAAAACAAGAGGAAATCACAATTCCAAGCATGTGGTGGTAGATGGGGACTCATCCCCCACCTGCTCAATGACTTCCTCGGTATTTCTGAACTTCCAACAGGTTGTAAATATGACGTGCCCAAGGCTGACGAGCAGGGGTCTCATTCCTGGCAGGATCTTTGGATGTCGCTGGAGCACGAGTGAAATATTTTTTCCCAGGTTGCAATTTTTAGGGAGGTCCCAAAGCCCATTTTTGAAGGAGGTTTTTACCGATTGCTGATCTAAAGCTGAAGTGTGAGAAGATGTGAAACCCGAAGAATTACATCCTTAAAAAACCCCAAGCTACTTCGTGAATGAGTCAGTTCCTAGAAGAAAACAAAGAGGCTGAGCCGGATCTTTTCCACAACTCTCCCGTGAGATGGTGCTTTTTTTAACCAGACCGTTTGGAATTAAAATCCTGATATTTAACAATTGTATTTTAGGGCTGGTGGTGCCATCAAGCAGTAGACAAACAGGCAAGAAGCTTATTACTCAAATTTTTGCTGGAGCTTGACTCGCCTTCATTTTTCTTTCTGGTTTTCTCTGCAGTCCTGAAGATGCTCCAATCTTCGGGTCAATGACAAAATTAAAAAAAAAAGCCTTCAGGTACAGCAGGAGGTGTTGGAGCATCGCCTGGCAGGCAGGACGCCAAGCAAACACCCTGGCTAATGGCACAGCAGATGATTTATTCATGGGGATCAATAGGCTGCTCGGCCGCGCAGGACCGCAGGTAGGTTGTGTCTCGGCGGAGTTGGCGCCCGGGATTTCGGTTTCAGACACAGCTGCCATCGGTCAAGCATCAAGGGAATTTTCCACCGGGGCCTAAAAGACACTTAAAAAAGAAAAAAAGCTTTACCTATCATCTCTCTAGTGCCTGGAACTCCTCGTTGGTCTTGTGATCGTATTAAGAATGAACTCATCGTCGCAGCGGTGGAACTGCAGGGCATGGCGAAAGAAGAGGATATTTCTTTTTGGAGGGATTTTGCACGAGGTGGGAGTGTTGGGAGTCGATCGGCTTCGCCAGAGAGCACGACTGGAAGGGGCTGAGGTGATTTTTGGAAAAAACAACCCAGTCTTGATTATCCAAAGCTCAATCATCTGAAACAGCCGTTCTCCAAACAAAGCTTTAATGGGAAATCACCCAAATTACTCGAAATCTTCACTGCCTGAGAGTTTTTCAAGGCCTGTTAGGTTTCAGGAATAATTAAAGGTGGTTTTGTCTTCAAGCTTCTCGCAGGAAACTCTGGTGGATTCAGCAAGCTCAAGCACGAAAGATTTGAGCAAAGCCACGACCTTTTTACAGCGGGGACGGCATTTGGGCAACGCCGAGGACACCTGAACCTTTTACCTGCAACCCCACCGCTGGATCTTAATCACCGAGGACCTGCCTAAACTGACTGAAAACAATGGAAAACGGGAAAAAAATATAAAAAAAATCAGTCGCTTCAAGACGAGCTCCCCACGGACCAGCAGCACAGATGCAAAATAAAAGACCTGTGGCGGATCGACATTCCTCTGTCGGTAATTCAGGCTTGGTAAGCGGGAAAGGGAGGATCTTAAGAAAAACCACAGGCTCTCCGACTCTAATTAATACGCCAGAGCACGCTCGTTAGGCTCAAACAAAGAGCAGCTGGCTGGGGCTGCGGCAGAGGCTCGGAGGTGAGGTGGGGGCTCGTGGAGTTGGTTACGGGCACGTAATACTCGCGTTTTATCAAGCCAGATAGTAAAGAAAAACGTTTCTAGCAGCGAGGGCGGCTCAGGCGCCGCGTGGAGAGGTCGAGTATGCGCTATTACGGCTGATTTTTAACGAGCGATGCTACTAGATTGCGCCTCGGGATGGAGAAGAGCTCTGGGAGGCTGCGCTTCCGTGGGGATGCCCTTAAGAAAGCGAAGCGCGACGAAGTGACTGACAGATCTGCAGGAAAGACAGGACTGGAGACGCAGCGGCTTTTCGCTTTTAAAGGCTTGGAAATCGCACCCGAAGGCGCTGCTGGGGAAGACCGGCCTTATTCCAGCTCGCCAAAACCACGGCAGCACGACTGGAACACCCCGTCGGGTAGAAAACAACTTATTTCCAAGCATTTGAATAGTAAAGAGTAGGAGGAAAAGCATTGTACTGACTTCTCGCAGCTCCAAAGGTCCTGTCCACGGAGAGCGTCGGGAAGGGCACGGGCCGGAGGGTGAACTGCGGGTGGGGGTACCCGCAGGTCGGGGACGGCAGGATCCCGGGGTACTGGGCGCTTTCGAGCGTCGGCACCGGAATGGCGCTGACCACAGCTAAAAGGAAAGACGGAGAGAGAGATTAAATGAGCAATTTGGATTTTTTTTTTTTAAAAAATAAGCTAATAATTTAGTTGTCTAAGCCCTGTCGTTCCTCATTCGGGCCGAGGCTGCGAGGAACAGCGGGGAGACGCGCCAACAAACCAGCAGCTGGAAGCCTGGAGTTGCGTTCTTGAGCTGGATTTAAGCGAAACGCTTCGATTTGAAAACCACGATGACGACTTCAGGCTTTCCTACGAGTTACCTCCTTCCTTTTCAGCGGTCAGCTCTGGACAGTAACACGACACAAATCACCGATTTCATTTTTTTTTTTCCCTAGGGGAAACTTAAAAACTTGTGGAAGTTTTGGCCCAGCGGAATTTTGGGCTCCCTCCTGAGGAGGTTCGGCTTATTTCGCACCTTTCGCACGCCGTTCCTTCGAGCTCCTACTACAGCCTTTACACAAAGTAGCAAACCGGGCTCCCTGCCCCCTCAGGAGCCACCACGGTGCCAAGACTTTACGATGGTCTTCGTGAGCGCTGGGACGAAGAAAACTCAGGAAAAAACGTCAAGTGGGGGGAATCAGAGTTTCTGAGCCGCCTGGGTTCAATCTACCCACTCTCAGAAAGAGAACTCCTACTCCTCAGACTTTTCATTTTGTCTGTGCGTGACGTTTTTATCGACGGTATTTATAACGTTGCCGCAACGGGGGGGAAAAATATCACCCTTTATTGAATACTATTGAAAAACAACTTGTTTTTCAAGTCCGGCCCTTCATTTCTTTTGAAGCTAGCACGTTCGTTTTGGAAAATAAAACAGGATTTACTATTCATTGCAGCGCTCTGCTGTGGTGAAAAGGTACCATCAGGCACTTCCAATAAATCTCTCGCAATCTCGAGCAGATATGACAACAAATGTGTTCTGTCACAGCCTGTCAGCAATTGGATTTGCACTTAATATTGATACGCTAAGACAGCGAGAACAGAAATTCCCCGATCAAATCACGGAGCTCCCTAAACACCGGGCTGCATAGTAAAAAAAAATACATAAAAGCAGCACCCACCAGCTTATGGAAATGACAAAAATCGGAGAGTCTGAATTGTGTTCGACAACCCCAGGGGCTGCCAAAGTCGACATGTTTGTGCTCCCTCGGAAAAAAAAGAATTGTTTGGGGTGTTTTTTCCTGCCGTTTCAAGGAAAGGAGAAAGCAAAAAGCGCACAAATCGCTCTCCAAACTGATTTACTCCACCAGCGTTTCATCTTTGCCTTCCGTAAGCAAAAGATTACAAACGACACAGGGGAATTCCAGGGACAAAAACTTGGGACGAGACGCCCTGCACAGATTTTCTCAATTCTTTTCCTCCGAAAATCCTCCTCTCCTTGATGTTGGCGCTTGCCTGTACTTGAGTAGTGTCAGAGCCCTCAAAGATATCATTAAAACTTTTATCAAATTTATCTGGTTTATGCTCCTTCCACTTCAGTAAAAGCACATTTGTTCTCCAAGGCTGCAAATACTGATTATTGCACTGAGCTTGAATACTTCCAGAGCTGGTATTTAACAATTAATAGCACACGTTGGTTTTTTTTTCCTTCGGAATGACGACGTTGCTTCTTCAATCTATTTAATCGCTCACTGCTGCCAATTTGTTTCAGTATCAGGCAAACGGAGAGAAATTAATTAAAGCATCTCATCTCACAATGCTTCAATTTTATCTTCCGGCAGGAAAAAAAAAACACAAAAAAACCCCACAACGCATTCGGCGTAACTCAGCCTGCACAAATGCACAAAATGAGACTTTCATAAAGCTGAGTTGAATTATTTGCAAACAATCGGATCGTGCCGTCGCCGTAGATTAGATTGATAGTGTTGAAAATGTAAATAAAGAGAATAAAAAAAGGCCTCAAAAACGCATCAGTCGGCTGGAAAAAACTAAATACGTTTCGGAGCGCTCTCCATCGCTGAGGCGTTCCGAAGCCCTGGCGAGCTTTTTTTTAGAGGTGAAGCAAACCTTGCTAAAGGCTTTTTTAACCCCACGAGGAGTAACTCGATGGTATCTGGGAGGCAGCACGAGGCGGGCGAGAGCGGCTCACGGTACTCACGCGGGTTGTTGGGTTGCGAATCCATGGGGATCATGAGCTTGGCCCGGGTGGCTCGGCGGGCGGCCAGCGAGCGTTCCAGCGTGGACATGCTGTTTCCAACTTCTTCCGTCTCCGGACCTGAATTTAAAAGCAAAAAAACCACAAAAAACAACACGCTAGCTCAGCAGAAAGGCGTTTTTTATTATATTTTGTTAGGATTCAGTTATCTGACCCGACCATTAAATGTCACCACCTGCAAGGAGCCGCACCGACTACTTGGGCCGCCTCTGCGGAATAAAATTATCGTTTGCCTTCTTTTTCCGTTGGAGAATTAAGGCATCACGGCCCCTTTCTCTTAATTTGGAAACCCTGTTCGCTTCCTAATGTCGTGACATTTTCCTTGCAAATTGACCAACTTATTTTAAAAATCAAGTCCTCAAGCCCAGAAAAATGCAGGTACCTACAAATTCTGGCAGCCCCAAATGTTTTTTTTTGCTATTTGAACAAATCACGGATGAAGTCACTCTGATATTGTCACCCGGTTAAGCTTATCACCCGCTCAGACTGTTGCATCTCTGACGGACCCCGGCAAACACAAGAGACTTTTGGAAAAAAGTCCCTTTTTAGCTTTTCTTTCCTTGCAGGAAGAACGGGAGCTCCAGGAAAGGGACAAAACCAGGAGGAGCATCTGAAGGATTCACCTTCTGTCCCTCTCTCCTCACCCAAGGCTTTTCATCGTTAGGGTGGAAAAATAACAAAAAAAGGAGGAGGAAACTTCATCAAATCCCATTTTTCGTAGAGAATTTCTTCCTATCTAAGTTTCCTCAAGTCTCCAAATTCTGCTCCTGACCTTCC